AAGATTACTTTAATATTTCTCAAATTTTATGTACATATACAGTTTTGGTCTTAAAGTTGAGGAATTTGACATTTATGCTCAAATATCCTCCTTTTGCAAATGTGCTGGCATTTTAAATTCTAATTTGGGATCTTCTGAACTTTCTATAGGAATTCTTTATTTTTGGAATTCTGACCATATTGCTAAGATAAAATAATAGAGATATGAGTTGCCTGTCTTTTTGGATGTGTTTATAGGCAATACCACTTTTATACAGAAACAGTGAGCATAATCATTAAATATTTATGTTTATTCATTGAAGTGTAGAGCTTTTTTTTTGCTTGCCAAAACCATTGGCTTAAAGTTTTTTCTTGAAATATTTTATTCAATGTAGACTTCCCAGGTTGCTACAGGCCTTTTTTCAAATGGATTGGATTTAATGAGAATGAAGTTCTTTATATATTTGGGGGAAGACATGGTAGAAAGCTTGAATCCCTGCTCTCAGTCTGGGCAATGTAACTTTAAAGCTGTCATAAAATTAAATGTTTCTTTCTTTCTTTTTTTAAAGAATTACCAGGGCAAGAGCACTTTGAACGCAGCAGGGTTTTCTTCTTCACAAGCTCCCAATCCAGTAGATGATGAGTCATGGGATTAAAGCTAAAACAACCTTCAAGTTTGTGGTACAGTTTTGATGCAGAGAAGAAATAGTTTTTTGATTTTTGAATTAACAGAATTGTGAAACCTGACACCCTGGTATCTTCTGTCCTATTCTTACTCCCACCCTTAAAAAAAAGTCCTTACTGACTAGTTATGTGAAATGCTAAAAGTTACAACGTTGCAGTTACTGATATAAATAGTGTTAACTGGAAAGATTAAAGCATTCTAAATGTCTTGCTTATTTCTAGTGTATTCTTCAGCAGTTTAGACATGTTTCATGTCTAAATGCTAACCCTTGGTAGTGTTTATTGATCCTATAACAAGCAATAGGGTATATAATACACTTTTGGTTAAAAATTATTGGGTCTCGTTTTTACTTAAAAGGAGCCTTTAAAACAATGGTATCACTGAAATGTGATAACATGATTTTCATGAAGCCAACAGTGAAAGATAAGCCTTTTAAGGTGATTTTGATTTTAAATCATCAGCTGTGTGATGAAAATGGTTAAATGTTTGCAATGTGAGCTCTGTACTCAAATGTTTGTTTTTATAATATACAGACTTTCCTTGAAAATAAAGGTTGAAACACTTTTCCCCCTAAGTTTTCCAACAGCACTTTTAATTATTCTTTGTTTAATATCATAGTTCTCAACTCCTGTATTTTGAAATTTTGTTTTATAAAAGAGTCTTATGAAACCAATGAAGTGAACAAAAAGTCTTACATAAATTAAATATGTAAAATATACATTAATACACAGATGTAATAATGAAAACCATTCTTTGAACTCAAACTATATCAACGTAAAACAATGCTATTCATTCTTGCCATAATTAATTTTTTGATATTTTAGGATTAATGAGGGAAAGAACCCTGTCTTTTTCATTTACCATTATATATCTTAAACTTACTATGTCTAGAATGTAAGAAGTTCTTAATAAATCATTAAATGAATGAACCAAAAGATGAAGACATTAAGACATGTGAGGTGTAAATATTAGGAAGACAAAAATTATAAATTTTGAGTGTATGTTACTGTTCACTTAAAAAAATCCAAAGCAACATGTCCCAAACATGTATCTTGTTACAGGAATTTGGTTAATAAATGAGGCATCACATATGAAAAGAGGAGTATTCAACAGATATTGTTAGGATAACTAGTTAGATGCCTACGCCATGCCATATTCAAAATCAGTCCTAGGTGAATTATAAAAAATTAAAACTACAAAAAATACAGTTAAATATTAAACCTTTGAATTGGGGATGAGAGTTGACTTTAAGCTCAAAAGGTGGAAATCGTCAAGGAAATAACAGATTTGATCACAAAAGGATTAGTTGCTTGTATAAAAAGAGTAAACAGCAGACAAGGAAAAATATTACTGTGACTACAGTGGATTATCACTGTGCAGTCCTTTATAGGTGGTATGTAGGAATACCAGTAGACAAATGCACAAAGAACAGCTCAAAAAGGAAAGTTCAACTAATAAAAATATGGGAAATATTTAACTTGTATTCTGCAATCTTGCTCCTGGGAAAGGCTAAATGAATGAAGGTGTTTGCATATTGTTATTTGTAATATCTGTGTCTTAATTTTCTCTTCCAGTTTGTTTTGTTTACAAAGAGCATTTATAGGCCATTTCTGTCTTTTTTTTTCGTTTCCTCAAAGAGCTTCTTGGTCATAGCCTGATTGCTTTAAAAATTTTTTTGTATTTGCTTGATTTGTCAAATTACCATGATAGCTTTACTGAATCAAATGTAAAAGGGAAAGAAAATCATACATAATCCCACCATGATTACAAACCAACTGTAAATGTCCCAGTGTTAATTACTTTCTTCATTTCTAGTTATAGATTTGAATGATTTCTTTAAAAATGTCAAGGTAGCAGATACAGGTATGATTAGAAAGTAAAATGCATCAGAAGGGTTTATAATAGGAAGCAATATTCTGCTTCTCTCTTTGTAAATTGCTATTCCACATCCCACAATCAACTGTGTTTAACCATTTCTGGTGGTTGCCATTGTATATTTTATTTTTGTCTCACCAAGTTTAAACTTCTGTTGACTTTCTGTATGACAGGGAAAGATTTAACTCACCTCATTCTTACTTCCTTGGTAACTTATTTTTTTTTTCCAGTTTTATTGAGATATAATTGACATACATCACTGTATAAGTTTAAGGTATACAGCATAATGGTTTGACTTACGTATATTGTGAAATAATTACCGCAGTTAAGTTTAGTTAGTATCCATTATCTCATATAGATACAATAAAAAGAGAAATCAAGAAAAGAAAAAAGTTGGTAACTTTAATGTAGTTAGAAGAACTATAAGAACAAGAAGAACCTTGTGAGATGATGATAAAGGCACCTTTTCCTTCCCTCTATTTTTTTACATCGCAACATCTGTAAACTGTACGTTTACATTTCCAAAGTTAACATTTGCATTCTATTCTATAGCCCTAAGGTCTCCCTTGTTATATCTACAGATTGATTGTAAAATTGGAAATCAATAGGCAGGGTTTACATTATATAGATATTGTTCTCTGAATGGGCCAATTAACACAGACTGATAAGCTTTCCTTTACTATTTTTCCAATTTTATGACCTCTGTGTTTGCAGAGAGAATTGTTATAATTATTATGAATGGCAGGGTCAAATGAAAATTGATCAAAACCATTCCACATACCAATTTGCTTTAAATTTGGACCATACTCTTTTTGAGCAGTTTGTTTCCTCTGTAGTTTGTCTTTTCTTTCTGGGAGAAGAAACATGCCTTTTTCATCATATTATTACTGTTCTAGGTTCAAAGTTAGTGTTCTCTGGAAGCTTGATCCCAAAAGATATTGGTGTTCTGAGATTTGATAATGAGTGAGCCTTTTAGTTTTGGCTAATACTCGATGTGCTTTGCAAATCATCCTTTTCTGGCCCTGGGAGTGTTTTGTATTATTTCTTTGACAGTTTTTTCTAAGTTTTCTGTGTGTGGAACTTCTATTAGTCGGATGCTAGAACTGCAGAAGTAATCTGTATCTCATATCTTTCATTTTTTTTCGCCTTTTTGCTAGTTATGTTCTGGTAGAATTTTTACTATCTTTCAACCCTTTTATTATATTTTTTTAGCAGTTGTTTTGTTTCCAAGAGCTATCTAATTTTCTTTTATTTTTTTCCAAATGTTGCTTAACAGTAAATTTTCTGCTTCACTAAAACTTTTTTAATCCCTGGAATTGAACCCAAGAAATCATTTGTTTACATTGAGCATTTGTTTTTCTGCTGCACGGCATCAGAAATCTTAAGCTTTCATCAGTTTATAAGTTGTATATGTATATTGAATGCTAGCTTTAGTCAAATTCAGTGGTCTATCCCATTTTTATACCTTTCCCCCCAGCTCCTAGAGTCTAGCCCTTTCCTAACTCTCTTCATCGAGGCCTGTTCTCAAGAGAAGGCATAGACTGAGATGTGAATGGTAAAACTTAGCTTTTGTTTCCTTGAATCCTTTGCATTTTAATGAGTCAAAGGCTCTGGCCAAAGCTAAGGTGGGAAACTCAAAATGTGGATTATCAAGGTCAGCTTTACATGTAGGGGAATGGTAGTAGCGAATGAAAGTGAAGAGTGGTCTTGATTTCACACAGGTATAGGTGACCTACCTACTCCATCTGTCCCTAGGGTCTTGGGGTAGAGTAATAACGATATTTCTGATTTAATTGTTCAGCATTGATAACATTTCTATATAGGGCAGCAGCATTGATCGGAAGTTTACCCTTCCCACCTTTCCCACAGCTTTATACTCACGCTGTTTGTATAGTTATCTCTTTATTGGTCCCCTAACGTGGGAAAAGACAGCTTTTCGTTTTGTTTGGTTTGTGTGCTCTTCATAGAGTTTTGAGTGTGTTGAAAATGGCCCTATTACAATTTCAGCCGCTCGCCAGCGTGCATGATGGCATGGTCAGCAGAAGCTGCTTATGCTTACTGTTGGCTTTAGGTTACCCTCACCGCGCCCCGCGTCGAACCGCGTACTTAGTACCTCGTTTGTAAGAGTCCAGAGTGGACTCGCATTATGTCCCGAGGCCCTGGCGGTGAGGAAAGGCCCTCTGTCTCACGATCCGGCCGGGAGAGAGCCGAGCCTCGGCAATCGGGCGGCTGTGTGCGCCTGAGCTATCGTGAGGCTGTGGCTATCGTGAAGCTGCCAGTGCTGGGAAGCAACTTCCACCTGCGTCCGGGCTCGCAGAGGCGGCTCCCCGGGGCGGCTCTGACCAGGTGGTCCTTCCGCTCTCCCCGACCTGGCGGCGCTCGCTCCGCGGCTGGGAATGACAGCTAGCGAGGGCGTGGAGCGGCGGGAGCCTTCCCCTGGGGCGGAGCGGGAGGTTGGCCTGATGGGACCCGGGGAACTGTGCTGGGCCCCCGAGAAGGGGTCCCTGCCGCTGGGAGCTCGGGCAGGCAGCGTCCAGGTGAGTGGCGCAGGGCTGGCACCGCGGGGTTTCCTCGGGCTCTCCCTTTAGAGTTATAGTTCCTAATCGTTTTAGGCATGTAAGTTATAGACCTAAGTTTTACATAGAATCTCAGGGCATATATCAGCTTCCGTAAAATTCATAGACACACCCAAAGGGCCCAGGAACCACAGATTAAGACTCTTGCTTTAGAGACAGATGGTGAGGAATTCCAAATCAAGAGAGGACGGGACAACAGGGTTAGTTAGTGCCAGAGACGCTGTGGACACTGGAAATTGAAGTGCGCAAGTGAGACTTGTCCTAGAGTTGGAGGCTGGCGATTTAGGCAAATTCCTTAATCCTTTACCTAAGTGATTCATTAATTGTTTTTTGCTATAATTTAGGGAATGATTGTCAAATCTTCAAAGTAGGGCATTGAAATTTTTTTTAGACATATATTTTAAATTATTTTATTGAAGTCATATTGGCTTATAACATTGTGTAAATTTCAGGTGTACATTATTATATATCAGTTTTGTATAGGCTGCATCGTGTTCACCACGAATTTACTTTTCTGTGGGGGATTTTGTGTGTGAGAATTCCTTTTGTCTCCGTCAGTTAGTGTTTTCTAGATTTGGACTCTCACATGTTTGTGGGATTCTTTTTCACCATTCAGGAACAAAAACCAACTTTTCCTCTTCTGAATACATGAGTTTATTAATTATCCCAAAGTCTTGGATATATCTGTTTTAACTTGATTTTTGTCTTAGTTTGCGGGTGGGGGGTGGTGGTGGTGGTTACTTTGTGGGGAATAAAAAATTCTCAACAGAAATCAAAACACTTTAAAAATGTTGAGAAACTACATATATAGGAGGAAAATCTCTATAAGAAGGTGGGCATGATGCTTCGTAATAAAGAACTAATTGTGGCCTGCCTGGTGCTGTAGTGGTTAAGTTCCCTGGCTCGGCTTTAGCAGCCCAGGGTTCGTGGGTTTGGATCCCGGCAGGGACCTACGTACTGCTCATTAAACCATGCTGTGGCAGCATCTCATATACAAAATAGAGGAAGATGGGCACAGATGTTAGCTCAGGGCTAATCTTCCTCAGCAAAAAGAGGAAGATTGGCAACGGATGTTAGCTCAGGGCCGATCTTCCTCACCAAAAAAAAAAAAAAAAAAAACGAATTGAAGTAGCCTTAACATTGGTTTTATTTGTTGACTTGTGTGATGCCTAGCACTATCAGTAATCTATGTCAGGCCTCAGTTTGCTTATATATAAAAGAAAAACTGGATTTTTCTCCATGTTCATCTCCATCCAGTGGAGAAGTCAGCGCATGCAGTTACAATAAAATGTTTTTTGAGAGGCACCCTGTAAGAATGCAGGATATCATAGCTGAATGCTGGTGCACTTGTATTTTAATGTTCAGGTCTTATTCTAGTATTACATTAGCTGCCTTATCAATGTTAAGTAGATAGTTGATTCTTGAGAAACAAGTCAGAGATCACATTTGCTTCAACTGTAGTGGTTGAATCTCTGTTATAAATATCATATAGACATGAGTGATGCTTGTTAACTGACATTTTGGCATCTTACTATATACCTCATCTATCAATTGTTTCATCAGTCTTAGGATGTTCCACCACTGGAGATTTATTAATGATAATACACACATGCCAATCAGCTAATGTGTTCTTGCCAGTTAATTGCGATGCAGATTCTGACAATTTCATCTTAACATGTTTGTTCTTCAGGTGAATTATCTTATTGGGTTACTAGTCATCTGGGATGGTAGAAAGTTTGGCTCCAATAATTTATTTCAATTCCATAAACAGAATTACTGTTGCTATAGTGCCACAAAGTTAATACCAGCATTCAAAGTAGAATATAGAATATTTTGGTGCCAAAATAAGTACAGTTTATCATAATGTGGATGTTATGAATAAAATGTGTAGAGAGAATGATGCTTATCACATATTTAAACTAGGTAGTAACAGAGACTTGTAGTTTTCTCATCTGTGTATATAATTTGGTAGGAAAATGAACCCTACTCTAGTGAAAAGACTCAATTGACCTAAGTTTGAATCCCAGCTCAACCATTTACTAAGTTCGTGCTCTGGGAGAAGTTAACTTTTTAATTTTTTTATTTGAAATAAAATTTACATATAATAAAATGCACAAATCTTAAGTGTTTGGCTTTAATTTTTATCTATGTGTACTCCTTATAACCATCACCCAAATCAAGATATGTAATATTTCCATCACCCTCGCGCCCCTTTCCAATCAATTCTGTTGCCCAGAGGTGACCACTATTCTGATTTTTATCACCATAAATTAGATTTGCCTGTTCTTCAACTTGATAGAAATGGAATCATAAAGTATATGTCCTCTTTTGTGTCTGAGTTTTGTTCAACATAAGTGATTCATGCATGTTGTGTGTATTAGTAGTTTGTTCCTTTTTATTATATACAGTATTCTGTCATGTGAATATACTACAAATTGTTTTTCCAATTTCTTGTTGATGGGCATTTGAGTTTCCAGTTTTTTTACTATTATCAATAAAGCTCCTATGAATATTCTTCTATAAGTCTTTTGGTGAAGTAAGCACTTAGTTCTCTGAGGCATGTACCTAGGAGTGGAATTGTCGGATCGTAGGGTAAGTATGTATTTAACTTTATTAGAAACAGCCAAAGAGTTTTCTAGAGTAGTTGTACCGTTTAATATAGCTACCAGCATTGTAAGAGTGTTTCATTTGCTCCACGTTCTCACCATTATTTGGTATTGCCGGTGTTTTTAATTCTAGCCATTTACTGTGGTTTTAATTTATATTTACCTGATGATTAGTGATGTTGAGCACCTTTTCATATGTCTATTGGCCATTTATTTCTTTCTTCACCTGTTTACATGTCTACCCAGTTATGATCTTGAAAACAATACACCTGTGAATGGTCAAAGGAGGTGGAGAAAAGATGGAATCAAGAGATGGGGTGCTATCTTGCTGGTCAGTGGTGACACCAAGAGTCGTGAAAATGGTTTATCTTTAGGCTAAATTACAGTCCTTTGGGTCACTGATTATGTCTATTAGAGTGTTACTAGCTGCTGTTACAACCCCCCAAACTTCAGTGACTTAACAAGATAGAAGTGTGTTTTTGTTCACCTGACTATCCAAGGAGGGTGTTCCTGGTAGGTAGATGGCCTCTCAAATAGTTATTTAGGACCCAGGCTTCTTCTATCATGTGGCTCTGCAATCTGAGTCATGGCTTCCAAGATCTTTACGCTTCTCTTCATGAAGCCAGGGGAAGAGTGGGAGGGGAGGAGGAAGGAGGTAGATATATGGAAGATTTTTATGGATCAGGCGAGGAAATGGCATATAGATCTCTCCTCACATTACTCTGTTGAGAACTGAGTCACTTCTAACTGTAGAGGAGACTGGGAAATGTAACCTTATCTGTGTGCCCAGGAATCTGTGAATCAGCTAGCAGTCTTGGCCAATACTGATGAAATGGGATGTTCTCAGGAACTGTCAATGGATTTCTCTACTAAACTGAGTCAGAGCAAAGACTAACTTCTTCATCTGCTTAAAATAGCAAAGAATCTGTGTAAACTGCTAAAAGGATCTTAAATAAGATACCTTCCCATTCTCTGCTTTGTGTAGCCTGACTATGCTTGTAGGAGTTAATGAGAGTGACCATAGAAGTACAGATAATGATCACTTAATACATCCGTTCTGTGATGGCTTAAAAATGTTTCGGTGAAAGCTCTTTACCATTCGAATTTTCTCTCTTTAATATCTGATATTTATAAAATAAATGTAATTTAGAATAAGGGAATAAAACTACTTTATCTTTCATTAATATTTCAGGACTTTGTGATTTTAAAACTTTAAAAAAATTTAAGTAGTTTTTAGTGACTTATTAGAAAACTGCTTCTAAGACTATCTATGGGGAAATGCAAAGCTGTTTCTTTGACACCTTTCTCTTGAGCTAAGATAGTCGTAATATATTGGAGTTGCTAAGTCATTCCATTGTTCTTTTGTAATTAAAATCCTCAACCAGGATTAAGAGAGAGATTGCCTTGAATCATTTAAAACCCAAGTCGGCAATCTTTCTAGCTCTTAAGAGTCCAGGGTGCATCATTGTTAGAGGAAGAAGAAAGCAGGGAAGAAAGAAGAGAGGAAACAGTATGAGTTGAGGTGTAGTTGAGTTTTCTAAGAAGCTCTGCATTTAAGCTTTCCTGGGGCAAATTGTTATTCTAGGGCAGTGCTGACCAATAGAAATATAATGTGAGCCACATATGTCATCAGTATATCCCAAATATCATTTCAGCATGTAGTTAATATAAAAATTATTGAGATATTTTACCTTTTTTGTACTAAATCTTTGAAATCCAGTGCATATTTTACAATTACATTTCAATTTGGATACTGTTTTCATTGGAAATACTTGATCAGTATTCAGATTTTATAAAATATTCATAATATAGTAAATTATGATTCACATACCCTAAATTTCCCAATAGCTGAATCAAGTCTCAGTTTTTAAATTTAAATTTTGATTAAGTGAAATTAGAAATTCAGTTTCTCAGTTGCACTAGCCGTGTTTCAAGTGCTCACTGCCCACATGTGGCTGTTGGCTCCTATACTGACAGTGCAACTCTCGAGTCTAGACTAAGTTTAGACTGTACATTCTAGGAAGGCAGGGCCTTCTGCCGGGCACTGAGAAAGTGGTAAGAAATATTTATGGTTTGAAAATACTATCAAACCTATTTGAAAGTAGGCAGAGTTGAAAGTGAGGCTTAGTAAATAAATTTAATTGAACAGCTGGAGGGAAGCCAGGCTTCCAAAGCTAAAACTTTGTTTCTAAAACTTAATTATTCCTAATAAGCATTCACTGTGCAGCTATTTAGACTAGAATGGCTATACCTTTTTGGAGGATGCCTCTTTCCAGTCCGGTGGCTGGCAACTCGGGTCAAATTGCATATCAGTTGCCACGTAGTGGATTAGCTAAACAATTATGCGGGGAAATG